ATCCTCTGGTGAAGACATAAGGGATCTTTCTGCCTCAAGCTCCTTTCCACCGGCTGTAATTTCTGCAGCTGCTACAGTTGTGGCTCCAACTGCTGCAAGGGCAGCTTGTGCTCCACTGACTTTGAGGTCCTTCTTCACACTTTTAACTTTTCCTTTTTCCTTTGGCTTTCCAGCAGGTATTGCTTCTTTTTTAGCAGGTTCCTCCTTCTTTTGTGGTTTAGGCTTTGCTGCTGGCTTTTTGGCTTCATTTGAAGGAGTAGCTGTCTTCTTTGTTTCTTTAGGAACCTTCTTGATGTCCTTTTTGGCTTCTTTGTCTTCCTTCTTGATTTCCTTCTTCTCTTCTTTTTTAGCTTCTTTTTTAGCTTCTTTTGTTGAAGCTTCTTTCTTTATTTCCTTTTTAGCTTCCTTCTTGTCTTCCTTTTTCACCTCTTTCTTAACTTCTTTCTTGATCTCTTCTTTTTTTGGTTTTTCCTCTTTTTTGACAGGTGTTTTCTCTTCTCTTTTAGAAACCTCTTTCTTTGGTTTTTCTTTGTCCTCCTTCTTTTCTTCAGGTTTTGGTTTGACTTCCTTTTTCACTGTCTTCTCCTTCGACAGTTTCGGTTTTACATCTGTACTTTGTTTTTCAGGATTTTCAGATTTCACTAGTTCTTCCTTACTTGCTATGTCTTTTTCCACCACTATTGGTTTGGTCTCTACTTTTGCTGGTTTTTCTTTTTTAACTGGAACTTTTTCTTTGCTTTCCAGCTTCTGAGGCTTTTCTGGTACTGGACTTGGCTTCACAGGCTCTGGTGTTTCTTCTTTAGATTCCTTTCTGACAGGCTTACTTGGTGGTGTCTTTGCAGCAGGCTTCAGACTCTCCTTGCTGTCTGTTCGCTGTTTCAACTTTGCTTGTTTCACCTTTGCTTGTTTCACAGATGGACTAGCAATGTTTCCAGTTAGGTCTTTTTGTGTAACCATTGGCTGTTTAAGGAAGTCTAAATGTTTGAGTTTTTCTAGTCCCTCTAGAATATTATACTGGGTGCTGTTTCCAGGAAACAGAACTCTGATTATTTTTTCTGCAGGATTAGCTGGATGCCACACAATCAGGGATGAGACAGAGGTGAAATAGGATAATGGAATGTCTAGCTCTTGGCCATTTGGTAGCAGGAATTCAGCTTTATCTTTGCTAGTACCACTCCACTGCTGCATAAAATATTGCATCTCTTTGCTGTTTTTGATAGGATTAAGCACATACATCTCAAGTTTGCCAACTCCCATTTTCTGAAATAAAATGATAGGGTCAGTGGTATTTCCTATGTTTCTGAAAAGAGGTTCTGGTTTCATAGACAATTTATTTAAGTATTGGAGAGTAAACCAAGCTTCTTCTACACTCCTATTTACTCTATAGTTAGGATCCAGGTTCTTCAGGTTCTCAGGTATATTAAGGAATACAACACCTAAATCAGGTGAGATCAGATTTTTCATCCAGTCACTGTTGGTAGTAGACCCTTGAGACTGTTCCTCTTCTAGTTCAGCTATCTTTCGCTGAAGCATGCTATTGATTCCTGGCAG